AGCAACCAAGAAAGTGAATTAGTCTCCTTTCTTTTGAATGGATAAAATAAACTGATTCAAAGTAACTTTAAGGGAAATATTCACATGATTAATAATTTTAAGGTAACCCCTAAAAACAAGATGTTTGTCTCCATGGATCTCAAAGTCACATGTTAATCATAATATAAAATGCTTTCAAATTAGAAATTCTAAACCTTTTTAAAATTCCAACATTTAAAATGTCTACAGTAGCTTCAGTATAAATTAAGTGAAAAAGGTGAGTAACTGCTCACTATTTCAAAAAGAGAAAAAAAAGAATATCAAATAATAAATCACATTTAAGGAAATGAATTCAGGAAATTCTACTTCTGTTTTTAACAATATTCTGGACAGTCGTGGACTAGAGAAGCTCCATGTTTTAGGCTTTGCAATACCTAGAACACACTGCACACAAGAAGAGAAACAGAAAGAGACAGAGACTAACAGATGTAGAGAGTGAGATGTACACAGGGGGAAAGACATAGACAAAGAAAGTGGGAAAGAGAGAAAGAGAGAGAAAGAAGAAGAGAGAGGGGAAGAGAGAGAGAGGATTCTATAAGAACTCAATGAAATATAACTTAGAATGTTACAAAAAGTGTCACATGTCTTTGTATCAATTCTTAAATGTGGTTTGGTCTCTCAAGATCACACTGACTGAAAATTCAATTTTTCTCATAATATCTTTAGTAAATCCAAGATAAAAAACTTTTTTACTGATATTTTTTCATATGAGGCGCAACAGGTGATCTCTGTAAATCACAGGCCTACTGCATAGTGAGTTCTAGGTCAGACAAGCTTTATAAAGACACTGTGTTTCAAAACACACTCACTCCAAAAATTTCTATTTAAAATCTTTAGAACACTGAGAATGGTTTAACACATAAAGTAATTACCTTACAACTATCCCTTAACATCCAGGGGTGGTGAGAATGGTTTAATAGATAAAGAACCCACCTTAAAACTATCCGTTAACTGCTTTGGCTGGTGTCACACACCTTTAATCCCAGCACTCAGGAACCAATGGGAAGTGGATTTCTGTAAGTTTGAGACCAGCCTGGTCTACAAGAGCTAGTTCAACAGAGAAACACTGTGTTGCAAAATAAAGAAATAAATAAAACAAAAAATACCAACTATCTCTTCACTTTTGCATTCTCAAGACAGTTGCTACAGTACATGCATATAATCCAATGCTTTTGATGCCAGATACAATGGAGACAGAGTAAATCCTGAAAACTCTATTTATGTCTCATGGCAACCTAGAGACCCTGGCTCAAACATGCTAACTGTAAAAGACAAACACCCAAATGGGTTCTCTGATATTTACACAAAATCTGTGACATACATGCCCAACTTCCACACATAAAGAATCACATAAATATAAATAGACATAAATAAATAAATAATAAAATTATAATAGCATGTTTTAGCACACAACATATATTCCAATACCTGGGCAGCAGAGACAACCAAATTCTTTGAATTCAGACCCAAACTCATCTGCATTCTGAGTTCAAGGACAGTGAAAAATATGGAGAGAAATCCTGTCTCAACTTAAAATTCCAACTCTGATTATAATTGACTCATCATGAAATCCTTTTCTAAAATGCACTGAAGTGGTCCAGATTAATCTCACCAGAGGAACCAGGTAAAGGACAATGAAATATCTCTTAAAGTCATTTTTGGTGTTGGCCAGTGGAAGCTGTCAAAATATTTTCAGATATGAATATAACTGAGTACTGTAGCAAAGACAGGCATGTCTCATGACTCAAGCCAATTTAGACTACATAGTGAATATGGTAGTAAGACATTTCTCAATCACACACACACACACACACACACA